CCTTGTCTATTGATGTGAAGGTGGAAAAGCACAGCAGGTCAGGCTGTATCCAAAGAGCAGGAAAGTCAACATTTCGGGCCGAAGCCCTTCATCAGGCCACCGAAACATTGACTTTCCTGCTCCTTGGATACTGTCTGACCTGCTGTGCTTTACCAACTTCACATCTATAGACTCTGGCTTCCAGTGTCTGCAGTCCTCATTGTCTCCAATTACTGCCCTTACTCTCAGGCATCAACAATGTAATGGAAAGTATCATCAACAATACAATTAAGCAACACCTGCTCAGCTATGACCTGCTCACTGATATTGAGTTTGGTTTCTGCCAGGGCCACTCACCTCTTGACCTCAATATAGTTTTGGTCCAAACATAAAAAGAGCTATATTCCACATACAAGGTGAGTGTAAATGCCTTTGACATCAAGGACACAAATATGTTATTACAGAGCTTTAGTGCAACTGGAATCAATGGAAATAAGGGGGAAAATCTCCATTGATTGGAATTATAGCTGGTACAAAGGAGGATGGTTCCAGTTGTTGGATGTCAATCATCTCAATCCCAAGACAGAATTGCAGAAGTTCCTCAGAGTAGTGTCTAGGCCCAATCGCCTTCAGCTGCTCCATCAATGATCTTCTGTCCATGATAAGGCCAGAAGTGGCGATCTTCACTGATCATGAGACAATGTTCAGCACTGTTCATAACTCCTCAAATATGGGAGCAGTCTATGCTTATTTGAAGCAAGACCTGGACAACATCCAGGCTTCTCAAAGAACTCCAATATACATGACTTCTCTTTCACAAAATTCTGAAATGTTTTGTGACATGGTGACTCTATCTGATTACCTTGAACATTTTATAATGTCTTATACCTCCTCTAATTATAACTTATGACATCTCCCCTATGAGAGATATTAAGCTAACTGGCATATAGTTTTCAGCTTTCTGTCTCCCTTTGTTTTTTGAATATAGGAATTACATTTATTATTTTCTAAAATAAGAGGACATTCCCTGAATTAAGGAAACTCAGAAAATTAAAACCAACGTATCAACTACTCCGCTAGTCACTTCTTTTACTAGCTAGGATGAAGTATTGGAAAGATCAAAGACATTAGTTTTAGTGCCAAGGGAAAATCCCATTCCCTAGAGATTGACTCCTACCATTCTTTGGCAGCTCTCTGAGTTGTACCAGGCTTTTCGTAAATCTAATTTTCTGAGCACTTAAAATGCTGAGGCAGTGTAGGCTATGGAGCAAGTGCAGGTAAATAGGATTAGAGTAGTTGCTGTTTGTTGGTTGGTACAGACGTGGTGGGCTGAAAGGCCTGTTTCTATACTGTATACCTCTATAACTCTATATTTAATGTGAAGTTTGAAATGGGTGTCGCTGCCTAAGCTAGCATTCATTTTAAAAAAAGGCTAGAAATATAGATAATGAGGGAAAAATTAGAAAGCTAGCTCGAAGTATAAAAACAGATGGTAAGATCTTCTACGCATATTTTTTGAAAAGCGTTAAAAAAGGATTAAATCATATCCTAGAAGAAGCTGTAAAACTTGAAATGGCAGCGAGGGAAGAAGCAAGGAAAATTATAATGACCAGGAAAAATTATAATGACTAGAGAAATGGCACTGAGCAAGTCATTGGAGCTTTGGGCTGTTAAGTTCTTAGATCCTGTTGGACTTCATCACAGTGCTTGAAATTGCTAGTGAAGTAGTCAATGAGTTGATTTTAATTTTCTGAAGTTCCCTTGTTTCAGAGAAATCATGAAATTCCCGCAGTGCGGAAAGTGGCCATTTGGCCCACTGGGTCTGCACAGACCTCCAAACGGTATCCGTCCCAAACCCAGTCCCCAGCCTATATTTCCCATGGCTAACCCACCAAGCCTGCATATCCCTGGGCACTATGGGCAATTTCCCATGGTCAATTCACTTAACCTGCATATCTTGGACTGTGGGAGGAAACCGGAGCATGGAGAGGAGACCCATTCAGACACAAGGACAAATTGCAAACTCCACACAGACAGTTGCCCATAGCTGGAATTCAATCCAGGTCCTTAGTGCTGTGAGGCAGAAGTGCTAACCACTGAGCCACCATGCCACTGGAAGGTGCTATCATTTTGGAAAATAAATGCAATTCCTGTATTCCAAAATAAAAGGAAACTCAAAGCTGGAAACTGTACACCAGTTGGCTTAACATCTGCCATAAGGAAAATATTAGACGCTTTTATGAAAGGTGGTATAAAAAGGCATTTTAAAATATTGAAGGTAATGGAGCAGAATCATGGCGCTGATCCGGCACTGGCCTTTGGAGAAGGAAGGCATCTGAGGCATACAGGAGCATGATGAGGTAGAGCTTGGTGTAATCAACATAGTCACTTTCCCACAACACAACACACACACGCACACACACATGCACACACACTCGCACACACACACACCCCACACACACGCACACACACAGACACACACACACGCACACACACACGAGCACACACACACGCGCGCGCGCACACACACACACACACAGACACACATACACACAGACACACACAACACACACTTTGTGAAGTGATTTTGAATACCTCACAGGAGTCTCTTTGACCAATTATAACCGTGAAAGGAAGTCGGAGAAGATTTCCTTGGAGCAACTTGTTGTTATTTTTAAACATAAACATTTTTCTCTTTTTTTTATCATTCACACCCTGCCCCATCCTCCAGGAACACACATGGAATACTTCTTGCAGTTTCTTATAAGTGGTTAGTTAAAAATACAGATACTTTCAGCATAATTTGCATAAATTATTTTCTTTTGATGGAATTAGTAATTTCATTTAATTTAGCTGAGTTATATGATTCTTTATATTGCCTGGTGCTCTAATTAAATGAGAATGCTATTCAGTTAGCACAACAAATGCTGTGACTAATGCTTCAAGGATATAATTAATCAAAATTAAGTGACCCAAATGTCTAGCAGAGTCTCATATTCCAAGATCCTCATTTAAATATTAAAGCAGTAATGTATCAATTCTTAAAGCAATCTTCTTTAAATCTATTTACAAATGCAGCACACAGGATATGTACAACACTCAAACCCAAGCTAATTAAATAACATTAATAGGTACTATCGAGCAGCCCATGTTATCCAATTTGTAAAGATACAAGACAGGATGGGAGCTTCTTGTGGGAGGATTGGGGTGAGATTCAATCCTATTGTGTCCTTTTCATTGGCAAACAACTTATAAGAAAAGCACCAATTTCATAAGCCTAAATTTCACATCTAGATATTTAACCAGTGCCATGTTGGGGATGTAATTACTACAAATAGGCATTAAGCCCCTTGCTGACATCTGATTCATGAATGCCTGTACTATCAATGGGTGCGTTAATATTAATTTTAAAGATCTGCCATGTAAATGTTTGCTCGTACTTATGAACAGCTATTTTATATTACACTGTATTGTCTATCTTTTAACGTTATTTCTTTATCTTCCTAATTTATACTATGAAGAACTGTAATATAGAACTTTTAGCTTTTCTCTTTATGTCTCCTTTTGTACCTCATCTATTTTAGTACCTAAGATTTGCACCTGGGTACTTTGTACCTAAGATGTGGTGACATTCTTTACTTTTTACTGTACTCCTGTACTTGTACTTGAGTACACGTGACAACAAACCTATTTCTAATACTAAGTATCGTTTCTGAGTTGTGCACAAATTGACTTACAAACACACTCAGGAATGGAACGCATTCATAACCTGGGGATTCCCTGTACTAATGTGAAATCAATAATCCCTTCGATGACGGTGCTGTGAAATCTGGCTGCACTTGAAGATTACTGCCCTGAGTAGGTGATCTCTAATTTTTAAACAGTCTCTGCTAATTCTGGAGAGGATCTGCTCATCTGTTCACATTCTTTCTACATCCACATTGGCAAGACAAATCAGAATCTTATGTATTTCAATCAAATTGCCCCCCGATTATCAAAAATCCATGGAAATGAGACCAGTGTGTCCTGCCTTTCTTCATAAGGTAACCCACTCACTACAGGTATCAATCTAGTAAACCTATTCTAAACTACCTCCAATACACTTACATCCCTCCTTAAGGAGACCAAAACTGCACACAAATTCCTTTTCTTCCAATACACCCTCTGTTTCAGTTATTTCCCTACCCCTTTTTACTCCATGTTCACCTCATTCCTTCAGAGTAGATTCTGCAATGTCCTTTTATTGGAAAAAGTCAGAAGTCACACAAAGACAGGTTCACCTGACAAAGGAGCAGTGCTATAGAAGCTTGTGTTTTCAAATAAATTTGTTGAACTATAACCTGGTGTAGTGGGACTTCTGACTTTGTCCACCCCAGTCCAACACTAGCACCTCCACATCATGGCTTTTATTGGAAATGTTGAAAAGATACAGCTGCTGCTTTCTTACATGTTAGTCATAATCCACACAGGATGTAAATGCTAGAGATGTGATCAAGTTATTTGCTGTTAATATCATTTAAAATGATATTACAAAGTAAAGACTCTGTTAAACTTATTTATAAACATACAGATGAAAGCATCAATCGACAATTGGCAACACTCTTACTTGTTGCTGATGTCACAGTTCATCATGTACAAACTCCCAGTAGTCAATATGTCCTTACAGCAATCAAAGTTAACCACAATTTTAAAAATAATTCCTGATTGCACTAATTAAAGAAACATTTTATGTTTACAAACATAGAAATAAGTTTGAGGAGTACTGTAAGCAAAAAAATTCCATTACAAAAACTGAAGTGACTTTAAGTGCAATTTATGTCCCATTGCCCAAATGGAAACATTCATTCATGTTTTCTTATCCAACATTAATAAGAAAACAAGCAGTCATTGTAAAATATGTTGCTTTATTTGAAGGCTGGGTGCACAAAGTATGATATGCATTTACCGTAAAAGCCACATTTTCCATGCAGTGTGTTGTCAGATTGCTTACTCATTTGTGTCTGACTGTATGCGGTACTTACTAACTTTCCTGGCTACAACAGAGATGTTGTAGTGAGAAATATCCTCTCTGTCCAGGACATCATTGGTCGCAATTGTTCCATCAATCTCATCAATTGTGAAATATTTCTCCTGGTCAGTACTCTCATCAATTGAGTACCTAAATTACCAAAAAGATAAGAGTAAGTACATAATCATTTTTCTGTACACTATGACATTGACTAAAATTTAGGTAACATTTTATTATGATCTTGTTCCAATTATTATGCGTATATAAGGTTTAGGAAAGAAGGAACGGAAAAGGCTCTAGAGGGATACAAGTTATCCAGGAAGGAGCTAAAGAAAGGGCTTAGGAGAACTATAAGGGGGCATGAGAAAACCTTGGCAGATAGGATCAAGGAAAACTCCAAGGCTTTTTACACGTACGTGAGGAATAAGAGAATGACCAGAGAAAGCAAAGGGCCGATCAAGGATTGTAAAGGGAGTATGAGCACAGAGCCTAAAGAGATAGGAGAGGTCCTGAATGAATACTTTTCTTCGGTATTCACAACTGAGAGGGACCTAGTTGTAGAGGAGGACAGTGTGAAACAGGCTGGTAGGCTAGAGGAGGTCAATGTTAGTAAGGAAGATGTGCTAGGTATTTTGAGGAACTTGAAGATAGATAAGTCACCTGGGCCTGATGGGATTTATCCAAGGATTCTATGGGAAGCGAGGGAAGAGATCTCAGGGCCTTTGGCGATGATCTTTTCGTCCTCATTGTCCACGGGTATAGTGCCGGAAGATTGGAGAGAGGCAAACGTCATTCCCTTGCTCAAAAAAGGGAAAAGGGATAACCCCAGAAATTACAGGCCAGTTAGTCTTACATCAGTGGTGGGCAAATTATTGGAAAGGGCTCTGAGAGACAGGATTTATGATCACTTGGAAAGGCACAGTTTGATTCGTGATAGTCAGCATGGATTTGTGAGGGGTAGATCATGCCTCACAAACCTTATTGAATTCTTTGAAGAGGTGACCAAACACGTGGATGAAGGTAGAGCAGTGGATGTGGTATACATGGATTTAAGTAAGGCGTTTTATAAGGTTCCCCATGCAGAAGGTAAGGAGGCATGGGATGGGGAAAATGTGGCAGATTGGATTCAGAATTGGCTGACCCTTAGAAGACAAACGGTGGTAGTGGACGGAAAATATTCAACATGGTGCTCCAGTTACGGGTGGTGTACCACAAGGATCTGTTCTGTGTCCTCAGAGATAGTAGGAACTGCAGATGCTGGAGAATCCGAGACAACAAGGTGCAGGGCTGGATGAACACAGCAGGCCAAGCAGCATCATAGGAGCAGAGAGGCTGACGTTTCGGGCCTAGACCCTTCATCAGAAAAGGGGGAGGGGAAGGGGGTTTTGAAATAAATAGGGAGAGAGTTGGAGGCGGATAGAAGAGGGATAGAGGCGGAGGCGGCGGAAAAACTGCTCTATGTCCAAGCGTGAGCGGTATTCGTTGATGTGTGGGTGGAGGGGGACAAAGGTGAGCCCTTTACTGAGGACTGACCGTTCGTCCTCAGTAAGGGGTAGGTCTGGGGGGATGGTGAAGACTCGGCAGGGCTGGGTGCTGCTGTCTCCTCTGGAGGTGCTGGCTGTGGAGGTGGTGGGCGGAGCTGTGTCGGCGTCGGCTGTGGGCGGAGCTGTGTCGGCGTCGGCTGTGGGCGGAGCGTCGTCGGCGTCGGCTGTGGGCGGAGCTGCGTCGGCGTCGGCTGTGGGCGGAGCTGCGTCGGCGGTGGGCGGAGTTGTGCCGGTGTCGGCGGTGGGCGGAGTTGTGCCGGCGGTGGGTGGAGTTGCGTCCGCGTCGGTGATGGGCGGACCGGCGTCGGAGGTAGGAGGAGCGGGGTAGGCGGCGGCAGTAGCGGTGAGGGTGGTCGCGACTTCAGTGTCAGTGGCAACGGCAGCGATGGTGCTTGCTGTCCCGGAAGTGGGGAACCTGGCGGTGGCGGATGTGACGTCATCTGTGGGTTCTCCGATAGTGGCCTCATGGCCAATGGCGGCGGACCCATTGTGGGGAAGGTCCTGGGTACGGCTGGGGATTTGGGGGGTGGAGGAAG